AGAGATATATATATATATATATATATATATATATATATATATATATATATATATATATATATATATATATCTGCTAATTTTAACGGAAAATATTCATATTTATTGTTAACAATTCATATTTTATTCCGAACAAAATTTTGAAAGTGAATTTTGAAGTGTTCCTACGCGGTGTTTTCCTTTAGTAGGTACGGCACCGTAGTTTGCGAGCACCGTTTAACTGGTTCAAGCCTAAATTCATGCCGCGCGCAAACTAATTAGTGAGTCGAAGAAGTCAAGATATCTAAATTTTTTCATTGTTGCAAGAAATGAAACACGATTTTCTCGATATTCTTTTTCTCTAAAAATCGTCAGAGAACGATTTCAAAAATTCGCGACTCATTCGTCTATTTCTCGCTCATGGAAACAGTAAACACCCATCCAGAGGAACATTGTATACTGACACGCCCGTGCTAACTGTTATGAGAACAAAGAAAAGTCAAAACGCCTTCAATTTTTAAGTATGCAACATGGTCATCCCCTGAGCACGAATAGTTGCATCCAGGTGCACGTATAGCAACGTGATAAGTTATAGGTTTTGCTCCCCATTGAACGATGCCGGTATGTCAGTCCTGCACCAATAAATTACCTTTGAAGCGAGCTCTAATGGAGGAGTTGCATGTGTGAGGAATTTGCGATTTGACTACTGCGATTCTTATGTAAAAGTTCGCGAGAAACACGATGGTGACAATGGTTTTCTCTGAAATCAACTCCCAAGCTCAAAAAAAGCTCTCAAGTTGACGCCAAAATGGAGGGGATATCCCACGCTATCCTAAGAGTCCACCTCTACATCAAGGCAAACTCTCTATGCAAAGATAGGGAGCAAATACATTGACAGGGTTGCCGTGTTCTTAGTTGTTGAGTCCCCAAATAAAGTGGCAGCCCTGTCAATGTATTTGCTCCCTATCTTTGCATGGAGAGTTTGTCTTGATGTAGAGGTGGACTCTCAGGATAGCGTGGGATATCCCCTCCATTTTGGCCTCAACTTGAGAGCTTTTTTTGAGCTTTGGAGTTGATTTCAGAGAAAACCAGTGGCACCATCGTGCTTCTGTGCTTCTGTGTTCTGTGTTTCAATTTCAATAATCAGCCTGCTGGGAGCTTCACCGTTGCTATTTTACCTCTAGCTGTACAAACCGGCACCGTCACAGAAACTATGCGACAATGCTGGCTAAAAACTGCAAATCTCGTGGGAGAGGATCGCATAATTGCCAAGTAGCGTTGCCATTTCAATTTTCTCCGCTGAGATTTCATTGACGTCACCACTTGATCTGGCAATCGCGCAAGTGCGCACATGCGATGATTCGTGATGAGTTATTTGACGTCTACGAGCAAAGGCAGACGTCCGTCCAGACGAGAGAGGCTGAAACGAGGCCTCGGGAAAAAAGGGCTGACTCCGGGAAAAATCACGCTCACCAGTTGTGACAAGGACGCTGCTGGGACCTGAATGGCTGAGGCTGAGGCCTTCTCAAGAAGACTAGTTTCTGGTTGGCGGGATAGCGAGCAGCCATGGGGTGAAGCTCTACCACGGGGGAGCAGCCGTGGGGTCTGGTCGAGAAGAGAAGCCTCCTTTTGGTTCCAAGTCACGGGGATTTTATTGGCATGTAAGTTAAAGATCACCCCTTACCTAGAGTCCCATTATAGAGAGTTGAGACATCGCGTCTTATGGATGTCACATACGGGATCAAATCGGACGTTTTTTGTAATCTTTGATCAACCTATTCCTGAATTCCTGCCTCCACTTCCTATGTCATTTCATTTGTTTCTTGCCAAACCCCCAATGCCACGGTCTATTCCAGTTTATAATCTTAGCAGTGGGTCAGTTGCGCTGGTCACAGAATCGTGTTTCGATGCTTAACCCTTGTAGATTGGCTAAAAATCACAGGATCCGTCCAAACCGCGGCTTTCTACGTTCCATGTTTACCGAAATATAGCCTTTTGAAAAGTCGGGTTTTTGACGTCATCCACCGTGGTAGCGACACCCTATAGGTTTCTTCCACCTTGCTTTTATCCAAGTTTAACGTTAGACAACCAGCACCAATGTGAGTCACACCGATTATTGAAAACTAGGTGGAAGAAACCAAGGGGGTCACTACCGCGGTGGATGACCTAAAAACCCGACTTTTTATATTACTAATTAGGGTGTACACGTGCATGTGCGCGTAATCTATCAAAGATTTCCGAGAAAGTATATTTTAGCCGGAAATTTTCGAGAGCTACCCTATGAAAGCTACTGTTTCAGAAATATGAGAGTGCTCTATTATATTTGGTTTTTTTTTTAGATTTTTTACATAGAGGAAAAAAGGAGGTATTTGCATTTTGGGCATCTTGGAATTTTTTCGATGATGTAGGTCGGTACGGCGACTTTTATCATCGATTTTCTTGGAAATGTTGCAGTTTATAGAAAAAATGCATCCTACATAAAGTGTTTGCAAATATATTATGAGTTGATTAAAGCAAAAAAATCGGACATTATGGTCCGTTGTTCATACCTCGAATTCCGAATTTCGCTAGCCAGGTTGTACCGACCTACGTCACAGGGTAAAAAAACCTCAAGATGCGAACACCTCCTTTTTTCTCTCTATGGATGTTTTATTCCTCTTTCGACGGTTGATAATGACCGAGCGACCGGTCGAAACGTCCCGTGTTTTGTACATTATTGTGTTTTTCAGCCTCGGCTCCGCCTTTTCCTATCCTATTTTAGATCAGAATAAATGAGGGGCTTGAAATACAAGGCGCAGAAGTGCAGTTTATGAAAAAATTGAGATATCAATGATTTCAAGTAAAACTAGTCTCAATGCATATTCTGTGAAAAATCCGCTCCCAGATTCTCCTTTTAAAACATTAAAAATTCAGTCTGAATTTTCTTTCCGCCATAAGGATCCGTGAAATTTCGAAACTTCAAACACGTATTTCTCGAAATAGCAAAAACTGCACTTATGCGCCTTGTCCTCCGAGCCCCTCAATGGAGATGTTGCATGTGTGAGGAATTTGAGATTTGACTGTTGATTCATTTGTTCGTCAGTTCGCGAGAAACACGGTGGTGCTACTGTTTTTTTCTGAAATCTAGAGTACCTGTATAGCGAGAGTATAGACAGATGTGAAACTCCGAAAATCCATCAGGCCTTCACTGATGCCTCCGCGAATAAAGTTAGGGCCCAGAAATGCAGCCAACCTATGAATTTCAATTATCCAGAGCGATTTATTAATACAACTGTTACGAACCATCGTTTATAAAGCACGTATTTGACTTAGTTTTTGCATAAAACTCATTTTTGTGGAAGAACGCTCATTTATGTACTTTCTTAGCCATCTTCGTTAGAATTGGAATCTACAGACTGGCAGTGAAATTTTGTGCGTTAGAAGTTGGTTAGAAGGGTGGCTGCACTTTTGGGCCCTAAGCCCTCCATGAAGCGATCTTTCCATACTCTCGCTATACAGGTACTCTACTGAAATCAACTCCCAAGCTCAAAAAAGCTCTCAAGTTGAGGCCAAAATGGAGGAGATATTCCACCCTACCCTGAGAGTCCACGTCTACACCAAGACAAACTCTCCATGCAAAGATAGGGAACAAATACATCAGCAGGGTTGCCGTGTTTTCAGTTTTGGAGTCCCCAAATAAAGTGGCAGCCCTGTCAATGTATTTGCTCCCTATCTGTGCATGTCTTGATGTAGATGTGGACTCTCAGGGTAGGGTGGGATATCCCCTCCATTTTGGCCTCAACTTGAGAGCTTTTTTGAGCTTGGGAGTTGATTTCAGATGAAACCAGTGGTACCATCGTGTTTCTCACGAACTTTTACATTGTAATCAACAGTCAAATCGCAAATTCCTCACACATGCAACACCTCCATTATCGTTCGTTTTGATTTGAATACGTCCATTTTTCAACTGATCCAATTTATTTTCCTCCAGGGATGGCCCTCATCCAAGAAACATCAGCCAGTGGCTTCAGCAACTGGGTCCCGCTCGCGACCTTACGGTTCGACACTGGCGACCTGATCAGCTGCAAACTGGCCGAGAAATTCCGGGCTCTTGGATCGATCTACGCCCCGGGACTCGAACACTGGCTCTTAGCATACGACGCTCGGAACCTTGTCGACATAGAGCCCAACGGCTCCCTCAGCGAAACGCTCATCACAGTGAAACACGTCGACGAACTGAACCACTACAAGGAGTGCTACAAACGCAACAATCCTAGTCTCCCGACGGAGATGGTCAAAGGCTTTGTCGACTACAACAAGGGCAAGACGCTTTACTATAGTCTTCTCCGCTGCAGTTGTAAACACTATACGCATTACTGGGCAACTGGAGCGAAAGGTAACTAAGAACAATTAACCGAAACAAATGAAGTTGATTTAACATTCTGATTGTAAAAAATTTGTGCGAGAACGTGTAAAATGCTGAATTACCCACCCGCCACAGCAGTTAGTCTTACATCTCGGCATTGCTAAAGTAACCGCTGTAGCGTGAAATTCAGCATTTTATAAGTGCTCGCACACTTTTTCCACAACCAGAATGTGAAATCAACTTCACTTTTTTTCCGATGAGCAAAAAGAAACCAGCGCGATTACCGTGTTACAAAAATGTTGCTCCTTCATAAATTTCGTGAAAATCTCTCAGAGTAGCGAATTGTTTTCACTTTCCACCAAAAAATGGTTAATTTTAAAAGAATAATTAATAAAGAAAATAATCGTTACATACATCTACGCATTACTGAAAAATAATTCGAAATTTTAATCCTCCTTGTAAAATAAACTATAAAAACTTTTTTTTATTGTTCAACTTCATAAAGGCGGATCTTTCGGCAAAGTCAGTTTTCTACCACCCTCCAGGAAATGCATCTATGTTCTCGAGGTCAACACCCCGGCGTCCTACCGCGAGACGCTGATACCAGCCATACCCCCAAAAGAACAACCGCAAAATGTCCAGCAGAACTTCCTGACACCACAGAACTCGATGCAGATTCCATTCCAGGCCGCACAGAATTTGCAACAGGTTCCGCACCAGGTGCCACACAATTTCCAGCAAAGCTCATTCCAGGTACAACAGAGCCCAATCCAAGTACCACAGCCAATCCTCCTGCCACCACAAAACAGGCAGAACGGGATCCCTCTCCCTGCTCTACAGTACTTACTACAACAACAGAGACTCGCCAATCTCAACAGCAATCGACAAAATCAATCCCAACAGTTGCCGAATTTCGTTCCAACACCATCTCCATCAGAAGAGGGTCAGGGACCCGTTATATTCCCTCCTCTACAGAATCAAGTGAAGGATAATTTCCTCCCGTTTACACCGCAATCACCAAAGGATCAGTTCCAACAACTTCAGTCACTTTTGGCCGTAGTGGTCCCGCAAGTTAAGCGAGTGTTGCACTTGCAAGATGCTTTAGCGCAGTGGTCGGCCAGGCAGAATACGGTGCCATGGCAAATAAGATGAGAGTCCTCAACACGGCATCGTGATTGGGTCGATTTCATGTAACCAAAATGTGTATATTAAATGCTTTATCCTGGAAAAAGTAGAGTCCCTTTATACCCAGAGTTAAGACATCTCGATTATCAGCCGGCCTGGACTGGCCATAGTGTCTCAAAAGTGTGCGCCCAAACGAACGATATTTAGGGATGAGGATAAGGAATCCTGCGATGTCTGTCATCCAAAAACAACAGCACCAACAAAACTGATCAAAACCTAATCATGGAAATTGCAATAAAATAAAATTAGATTGATTAGTGGATAATTTCTTAATTTATTTTCATTTCGGTGCGACGAAAATAACAATTCACTCTCGATAAACAACAATTTGGTTATATTTTCATTATTTTTGTTCACATTCGAGGTACCACCATTTTGGTGCACTCATTTGTGATTCCATGAGCGAGAACCGATCAGAAATGGATTTTTTTTCAGCCCGACCAAAAGTGAGATGTCGCAACTCTGGGTATGAAGACTCTAGGAAAAAGGAGAGAAAATTGATCTGAGTATTACATTTTGACCGGAATTATTTCAATTGCATTTCACGTTGCCCTATTTTCTCGCATGTTTTTTTTTAACAGAGAATTAAACTACTTAACGCCTTTAAAATTACTGTGAATTGAACCACACAATTGTAAGTTTTAGTGTTTTTAGTCTCCTGTTTGAAATGGAACATCAGATTAAATTTGGCAACGCCTGACATGGTCAGATTGATTCCAGTTAGGTCCCATCCAACTAAGAAATGCCTCTTAAAACATTTTACGACGAATACTGGATGGCAGACGATTTGCTGTCTGTTATGCGTTTCAACAAACACTGACGTTGTAAATCGTAGTATTACAGCAATTTACCCAAAAAATCATGATTTTATATAATGTATTTGAAAAAATACTTTATGTAGAAATATTCTTGGATTTTCCGCTATTGACAACTGATGCAACTATAGCAACCAGTTTTTGTGTAACCTTGTCTTGTGAAAGTATAATTATTTCATATGGTTTTATCTATCGTTAATAAAGCTAAAAACTCGGGTAACCCCGTTTGCGGTGTTACATAAATTTTTTATTTTATCGTTGAATAGGAAAATGTACCGTTTTTAATTCGTCACATTTTGCAGTGGTTGCTCTTCGACGATGGATTAGGAGGGTCTCGCTCTTTATCTGATGTTTTTCTATTGTAAAAATCATATGAAGATGATTTTTTTAATTCGGTACTTTTTTATTAAAAAAATATCAGGAAGAAAGAAAGTTTCCTAATACCAAGGTTCACTCAACGTATTCTTCACTGGCCTTACTACCATCATAAAATTTGACAATAGTGAGTTTATTGCGTGCAAGAGATACAGCCAAATGAATAAACTCTTTACGTGTTAAATCGCACGAAAAGCGTGGCTTGTAACACGCCTTTTCAAGTTACCCGCGTCTAAGGCCAGTTTTTCTCAGGCACCGCCGCCGACCAGGTTTGCACGGATAGAGGAGTAAGAACAGTAAACAAACAATTGGACTGCATTTTGCAATTTGGAACTATAAATTCGAGCCCGGTTTGAAAACAACGTATGTGCCATTAGTTTCCCTATGCACATACGAATTTTTCAAGAAGAGCCAGAATTTACAGTTCCAAAGTGCAAAATGCAGTCTAATTTATCGTTTGCTTCCTTTTTCTTTTCTTATTTCGCGAAAACAATAGCGTTTAATCAATGGATATCTTACGCAAGGAGAGTTTATAACCCCCGAGATTGTTTGTTTATTTAAGTTCGGACTCTCTCCGAGCAAACCTAACTGCCGGCCACCAAGAAAAACTGCCCGAAGACGCGGTTTTGAAATAGCGTGTTACAAACTACGCAGATTCCGCGCTAAGGGGTCGATTCCAGACTTTTTTGATGTGCCTAACGTGATTCTCGAGCAATTTTACTCCTCAAGAGTATACTCAGTCGGCTGTATCTCTCGCGTGCAACAGACTCATTGCGTTTTTTGAGCGATTCTCGTTTCAAAATGATCATTGGTATCCTATAGGTTGAGTTTAAAAGGTCAATGGTTTATTCATACGATTACTGAACTAAAAATATATAGAGCCAACAATTTCCCAAGAGAATTATCAATAAATGACCCGAAATTATATTAAATGTCAAACGGAGTCTCAAAGATCAAGGCCGAATTAGTCTTCTGATAGTTTCAATCACGATCGAAAACGCAACACTGCTGACAGCAACTTCGAGGAAGAGAAAATCTTGCCTAACCTTGTCATGTACACGGTGGCCCAGACCTACCTTACCAGGCCTTTTCTTCGGTTAATTTGGGTCGCACGAAGTCCAGGATCGCGGGGATGAATAGAGAATCGACTCATAGGAATCCGAATTTCATGGTCCCAGTGCCTCCCTGCGACCCTTAGGGGGGGGGGGGCAAAAGGGGGATTCGTACTTCAACAGTCAGGGTTTATGTCAAAATTTTGAAATTATTTCATCGTTATCAGAACGTACGGAAATTTTTAACTTAAATCGACACCAAGAAATCCTAAATCGGCCCATCCGTGTCCAAAATACCGACCCCTAAAGGTGGGGGACGAAGCCCCCTTTCAAATAAATTCAAGTTCGTTAATTTGACAAGGAGACTTGGAAAAAATGAGTATTCATGGGTAATCAATCCCAAGGAATCCAAATTTGAGGATCCCGTTGTCCTCAGAGACTTTTCTGATGGGGCACAACTTTTAAATTTAACCGGTATGGAGGTAACCCCTGTGTCCCATCAGAAAAGCCTCTGAGAACAACAGGTGCCTCAAATTTGGATTCCTTGGGGTCGATTACCCATGAATACACATTATTTCCGAGTCTCCATGAACTTGATTTTTTTTGAAAGGGGGCACCGTTCCCCGCCTTCAGGGGTCGATATTTTGGACACGGATGGGCCAATTTTGGATTTCTTGGTGTTGATTTAAGTTGAAAATTTCCGTACGTTCTGCTTCCGATGAAATAATTTCAAAATTTTGACATAAACCCTGACTTATGAAGTACGGACCCCCCTTTTATCCCCCAAGGAACGCCAGGAGGGCTCTGAGACCATGAAATTCGGATTCCTTGGGGTCGATTCTCTGTTCATTCCTGCGATCCTGGACTTCGTGCGACCCAAATTAGCCGAAAAAAAGTCCTGGTACGGTAGGTCTGGGCCACCCTGTATAATGCGAGTTCTTGGCATAATGCGAAAGCATTATTGTGATTCAAGGGTAGTTGCGAAAGTTTAATAATTATATGTGATTAGCGACTAACTTTTGTTTGCTTTCACCTATCCTTTAATTTGACCAAACTTTACCAACTTAGTTGTGCGGCACGAAAATGGTTGCTTCAATTCTCACTCATGGGTAGTTCTTCTCACCCTTTGACTTCTTCGAGTCGGTGAGGGAGTGTCACTCAAGAGGCTTGGTAACGATATCATTCGATTTTCTAATCATAAAATTATGATCTGATACTTATTCTCTCAGTCAAAACTGCTGCAACTGACCTTCTTCCTGAAACATGGAGGTAAGTTGGTATTTAGTGACAGCATGAAACAAACATACATGAAAATGAAGGTTGTAAAGTTGTTTATTCAAACTTATTGCTGAAACTTATTGGCGCGTATACGTAGTATATTGGCGCGTATACGTAGTATATTGGCGCGTATACGTAGTATACCGCCTTTGCGATCGTTTCGACCCCCCCCTCGATACAATAACCGAGTCCCCTAGTTCCTTACCGAAAAGTGACTACCGCGAACTTCTGAGATTTTCCAAAGCGTGTAAAAAGTTTACTAATCCGTCAATAATAATGATTAAAATTTGTTTCTCATTCTGGGGCTCGCTAGTTTATGTGTAATGAATACCAAGAGTCTACGTTTCTTGGTTTTTTTTAAAAAAACCTTAGAATGGGGCGCGCTGATTTAAAATATGCATATATAAGCGGAAGCAAGCGAACTGATTCGAGGATGGCTGACCAGTTCGGCACTCCTTGAATGAGAATTTCACTCACTCCGTTTTGTTCACAACGTTGCTTTGACATATCTCCACAACACTGTTATCCTTTTCAAAAGTTGGTACTCCTTGCTCTGATAGCCGGGGCCACCAGGATAGTGGTAAGTGCAATCTGTGATGAGCCTCGAGACTCATTAGACCATTTGCTAAACGTGGCTCATACAGGAGTCCACTAAGCCCTCTCGTCCCCACGCTCCTGATCACTGCGTCGGCGTCACGAAGAACAATGGGCCTTGGGTCCCAACGCGGCCGATACCCGTACCCCAATTACTCACGCTTCATTAACCATTTCACCGTCACGCTAGGATTCATCCAATTTTCAAAAAAAATTGTTTCGCATGTATTTAGCAATTTTTTCCTTACTCTCCGTTAAAACACAAATAAAAAGAGACCTCATTCATAAAAATCGGCCGAATAGAAGAGAAGTTACAGTAATCGAAATCCGAAGAAATCAACAAAACCTCGACTCCTCGATACGAAAAATAAAATGAAGGGGAAAAAAAGAAAGTATAAATTACAATTAAATATAATTGACCTCAAAATTTGACAAACAATTCATTTATATACCTAACGCTGAAAAAACTGGGAGAAATTACAAAAAATTTGCCTCTTGCAAGGGGCTTCTTTGTAAGAATTTTGACCTGAAGACAACGGTCGAATAACAGCAGTACTCCATACAATACACGGTGTGCCTGAACGAGTTAAACATTTTTCATACGTCCAAATCGAAAAATCTTTATATTTTTAACTACAATGTTTCTTGAATCGTTTAAGCAAAAAAAAAAAAAAAAAAAATTCCGTCGAGATTCTGGAACGCAAAGGCGCTTTAAAAGTATTCTGGGGCTATAATAGCTAAATCACCGGTAGTAAATTCGTTATATTATTAAAAAGAAATTGACTCCATAGTTTAATTCCTTAGTTTCTTGAATACGATTATTTTAAGCACTTAAACATTTATACCACCAATTTTAGCCATGGGGTGATTTCCTGAGAGCCGATAATATCACGAATTTCTCATAGAACCCCTCAACAGTGGCTTGC